TCTCTCTCTCTCTCTCTCTCTCTCTCTCTCTCTCTCTCTCTCTCCACCCATGTTTCATGTGCACTAGGTACAGATCTATATCCTCATCCCCTCTACATGATTCCCTAATAAGCTCTTTCACTTTACTTCTGGTGGCCTAGCAATCAGGAAAATGGAAATAACATCTGTTCTGTCTGCCTGAGAAAGCAACAGTAAAAATAATCCTCTGAAAATTGAAAACAAAACAGTGCAATGGAAGTGCTGAGTAAGCAAAGCAGGGCTGTACCCATACAAAGGGTTCTACCAAATGATCAGTGTGAATTGGTACTCGACAGATTCACTTTTCAACTATAAAAATGTTTTATAAATGGAATTTTAGAGATTACAGAAAGATAATTTTAGGCTACAAGAAAACTCAAGCTTGCCAACTTTCCAAATTATTATGTGTATCAACTGCAATGAAGGACAAAAAAAAATCAAATTGCAATCATTGAAACTATTGGGGGAGTCAAGAGTCTAATTTTCAGTCTAATAGCACAACTTTCAAAACCAGTTCAAGCTAACAATATCTTAGAAAGCAGGAAAGTGCATATACTTTACTATCTACAGAAAACAGAAAAGGAACTACACCTTGTCACACAATCAAGTTTAAGGTTCCATGGATTTTGTTTTACCGTATTGCTTCTTTAGTTGTTCTTAAGACAGAGGTAGCAAAAGGAGTGGGATTACAGGATAAATAATTCTAGAGGGTAGTACTTTAAAGACAAGAAGAAAAATGCATTATTTCATTTTCCTTATGAGCATAAAAGTTGGTAGGAAAATAATCATAAATACATACCAAAACTTTTTTATTTAATAACCACATGATTAGTGGGTATATAGATGAATAAGATTGTGTGTGATATTCTGTATGATATACACAAAAAAAATCAACAAATTAAAAAAAAACACATATTTGAGGAGGAAGCACAAAAATTTACTTCATGTTAATTAGTAGAGGTGATAAACATACCAAAAATTTTTGCAAAAATCATATATATAGTAAACAGTATGCAATCTGTAAGACCACAAAACAGCATACACACAAACACACATATACACAAGGACACAACTTAAAGCCTTGGACACAGAGGGTATTTAGAAATCTAAGAACATTCAAAACAGTAGAAGAAACAAAAATTCTTTTTTTTTAATTTTTGTTTTTGTTTCGTTTTCTTGAGACAGGGTCTCCCTGCAGCCCCAGCTGGCCCAGAACTCACTATGTAGACCAGGCTGGCCTGGAAATCACTATGTAGACTAGGATGGTCTGGAACTCATTATGTAGACCAGGCTGGCCTGGAACTCAGAGAGAGCTGCCTACTTCTGCCTCCGCTGGGATTAAAGGTGTGAGCCACCACACCTGGCCAAAAAATTCTTCTTAAATTAAGTGAAGAAAAGGAGAACAGGGAATCAAAGGGTTTAAGGCTTAAAGAACTACTGACAGAGAAAAGACATGCCCAGTTTAGACATGCCAAAGTCCTGTAGACAAAGGTTATTAGCACAGTATTTTATTTAAAAAAAATTATAACATATGGGCATCGTAACTATAGGCTGATGTGGAAAATATATGGGTACTTTTCTACTTTCACAGTCAGAATTAAAAAGTAAGAAAGCAAACCCCAGAAATCACAGACATAATACTAATGTTAGAAATGTAATTGGTAACTTGAAGGTGGCTGTGTTTAAACAGCTCCCGGACCGAAAAGTACATGGAAGGGGTAAAGGAGAGAAGGGCAACTGAAAGCCACAGCTTGAGGACACACGCTGCATCTGTACTGCAGCCTCAGCACAGAAGTGCAATGGCCCCCAAATTATACCTGAGCTTCAATTTCTCTGTGCCAGTATAAACCATTTCCTGGGGTTTTATGAAAAGGCAGTAATAGTAAGAATGGAAGAATGTAGTGGCCGGCGTATATTATATGTTTGATAAATGGCACACATAAGCAGGAGTAATAGTAAAAATAGAAATTCAATAGCTATAGAGAAGGAAGTGGTCCTGTGTGATTTAGGCTACACTGCACCTCTGTGGGAAAATGATACAAATAAGATTCCAACAGACAACAGAAGCAAGTGCAGAAGCAATGTAAAAAGGGACGAAGAGGGATGGTGCATGCAAAGAAATCAGTTTTGATCACTGTGTCTGAAGAATCAGTGGGTGTGCCATACTGTGTATAGGCAGAGGTATCACAGCAAGGGAACCAGCCATGATACTGCTTCACTGAGCGTCATGGCATTCCCAGTGAATTAATTCAAAGAGATACCAGCATTTATTTCTCTTCTCAATGCAAGGCTGATGGCCCATGCATTGTTATCAGCCTTTTTAATATAGAATCTGCATGCACCCTAACTTCCAGGCATGTAATGGACTCTCACACCCACTAAGGCTTCTTCAACATGGTCTCTTTCTTGGTAACTACCATGCCTTTATTCTCTTCCTATTGGTAGGAAGTCCATTTGAGTTCTCTCCAAAGTTAAGAAACCAGCAGTGCCCCTCACTAACAAAAGAAAATGATAAGAAAACAAGGAGGAAATCAATACATGGCTCTTCCTGTTCTTGTACAAGAGGTTCTTTGTCATAACCCAAGTCCTACAATCACTAGAGGATGATGAGCCAAAGTAAATCAGTTTGCAAAGCCTTGATGTTTTGCAAAGATGCAGTCTCTTTCAAGGGTAATAAAACTTCAAGCCCTCCCTGGGATGAGGGAGCACAAGGCCTTCCTGTACTCTTTTCCAGAGCAGCTTTCTCATGCTTTGGCAAGGCCTTTTCTGGAGAAGAGTCACTTAAACACCCCCAAAGGACACTGTTGGGTGTGCTGAGGCCCAGTCTGTCTTACCACACTCTCTAAGCATTCAGTCACCTTACACAAGATGGACACCTGCCAGACCTTAGTGAACACACAAGGTGGAAACAGTACCAGGTTTCAGACAACAGTCCTAAAACACAAATACACTAATAGAGTATTTGCTAGGAGTGCAGGGAGACTAGGAAGAAACACGAAAGTCGGAGCAATACCATGGACTATGAAATATTGCTGAAATGAACATGCCAATGTCTTTCAGAAAGCAATGGAAAAAAATATGGAGAGAAAACAGCATTTTTTTTAAGGCGGGATGAGGCAGAAAATGGAGAAAACCAGGCTAACTCTCCTTAGACCACATCTTTCCTTCTCATCTACTGCAAGTCTCACAGTCTTCTGCAAATTGGTTGTAAGTTACTGTTTCCTGAGTGTGAATGGTCCACTTCCAAGATGGACCCAATACCTGGTACTGTTATCAGGGTTAAGAACCTGTGACTAGACAGATCACAAGCTGTAGAGAGAACCTACTACTACTGTTCTGATAAACATAGTATTTAATTGACTCCTAATGATTTATCTTATGCCCATTGATAAGTGCATCTCTCAGCTCTCACCAGAGGAGCGTCTTCTTTCAGCAGATGGTAGTTAACACAGAGACCCACACATGGTTAATGTGCAGAGACTAAGACTGTGGAGAACTCAGCCTGAAAGAGGATACCTACATCACATCCTCTCCTAAGGCTCGGGATCATTGCAGAAGAGGGGGCAGAAATCTTCTAAGAGCCAAAAGTGGTAGATGAATAGAAGGAAACTGTTGTCTGGACACTACAGGGCAGTTGTACATATAAACATACAGTATTTGTGACAGCATGAAAAAGACCTGTACAAGCCCAAGACAGAAAAAACCCTAGCATGAATGGAGGAGGTGAGCAAAAATCCCCAGCCCTAGCTGAGGCTCTGTTGACAGTTGATGGCCCCTGGGAGGAGAGTTACTTTTTTTTAAGGGTGTGGCACCTGGTAGGGTTTCCAAACTTCAGGGGGTGGATTCACATCTAAGAGCATTTCAGCATAAAACCCCCGAAACTAAGGTTTCACTTGAAACTATTTGTAAGTTTCAACAAGTACAGGCTTCACAGTGCTCTCCAGACAATGTTATTCCACAGCAGCTTAAGGGAAGAGAGATAAGTTAGAAAGCAACATAGTTCTAGGCACCTTATTAGATTCAAGTCCTATGATTTTTTCACTAGACCTACTGCTTAGAGACATTTTAGCACTTATCTGATGGCAACAGGGAGGACCACTGGGCAGGAGACATCCCCACAAGAGAATAAGCTAGGGATAGGAGACAAGGCTACAGATTTGGCTCCGAGCTATGCATGAACAAGTCACGTTTCTAGTTGGGGCACTCTTCCTATTTAACACTGTATAACCCCAGTCATCCAAATCTTTGAGGATTTGCTCCCTTTGCTTCTAAAGAGGTGGTTGGCCTAAATGATATTTGGGAGCTCATTAACCTTTGACAGTTCATAAATTATGGTATATATACTGAAAAAACTCTTTCCAATACAACGCTATATTGTAAATTACTTCTGTTACTGATCGCCCCCCTCCCCCCGACATACTCCAGACAGCAGAACTTACCCTCTCCTCCAGGCTGCTTGTATGGATTGTATTTAGGTTTTGGAGCAACAACTGGTGCAAATTTCTTGGGTGGCTGTTGTGTAGACACTGAAATACTGGGGGTCCCAAAAGAATGGGTGGTCTCCATCCGTGCAGGGACATGACCAAGAGGCTCACCAGTGCTTTTGGGAGGCAGCCAAGATGGGTGAGACATTGTTGAACTCTGCAATTAGAAAAACATATACACTAATTGTACAGTGACACAAAAATGAAATTTCCATACTAAACGGCACTGCCATTTCATCTGCATCCACATGTAGCAAATGTTTATAAAGATCTGTGGAAAGAGGCAACAAATAAGGATAAAGGAATAAGAAAAAAGAAAAGCGGAGGGAACGAAGAATTATGAAAGGGAAGAAAAGGTGCCAAAAAGGAGAATGGGAAAAAGAATAGAAAGAAGAGACAAGTCCCTCATACTTGGACACTCCTCTTCCACTAAGCACCTATTTAATTCCCTGCACTCAGAGACACAGACATGAATACGAAATGGTTCCTAACTTGAAGACGTTTCTATGCACGACAATGGAACAACTTCAATCCTATTAGTAATCTATTAAAATAACTACCATACCAAGTGTACGGTGATACTTAATGAGATGTTAAGTCACCCAAGTAAAAAATTGTTTTAAATGTTGCTGGGATTCAAAAAAGATAAGATTACTTCTTGCTGGGAGCAGAAGCAAGAGAACTGCATTGGTGAGATGTTCAGATTGGGTGTTGCACAGAGTTTGAGCCTGAAAAACATAGCAAAATTACATAGGTAGAAACATATACAGCACTCATGTTTAGTGTGGTTGGAGGGGCATAGGAGGAAGAAGCTGGCCCAAGACCAGAAATGTATGACAGAACCAAGGAGACAGCTCTGCACACCTGAGGAGTTTAAACTTATTCCACAGGTACTGTGGAAACACTGAGGTTTATTCTGTTAACTAATACATGACAGCATGCTTTATAATGTCCCCTCTGCAAGACCAGCTCGGCTCACCCTCCGGAGATGCTTGGAAAGGAGGAGGACAGGTGCACTGCTTGCCAAAATGCTGAGAAAAAATACTGACATTTACAGGAGAAGGAATAGAATATTCAACACCTGCAAACATAGGTTGGCCCTGCTTGTCAAAGAAATCAAATGCTATACTGAGGTGTTACCAAGCTGGAAATTTATGAAAAACTTAACTCTAACTACATGGGGGCTACGCAGTCCAGCACAGACACTATTCTGATCAGATTATCCATACTGTGTCAAGAAAGGAGAATGAATTCTCTGTCAGGACATGCCAATCACTGTTTCAGGCAGCATGCCTACTGGAGAAGAGCCTCACAGACTTGCTAAGGGCTCTCCAGGCCTGATTATGAGAGCTCTCCAGCACAGCAAGGCCCGGAAGGTGCCCTACACCCACTCCCAGCCCCAAATTCACCTAGTAATTTATTAATTGAACTGAATTAATTAAGAGGACTGCATGATTAACCTCCAGGTGTCTGTAAAGACAAAGCACAGAAAATGCAGAAACAAATGAAGGCCTCAGTATGCAACAGAGAGACTGTAGAAGAGGAAGCTCAGTCACTGCATTGCTAGGAATTAACATGTGTCAACACCATGGACCAGCAGCATGACCAGGAACCCCTTCTGATGCTACATGGTGAAAATTAAGATTTAGAAATCCCTCTCCTCCTTAACTCACAGAGCTTTTATGACAACCAATAAAATAACACTTAAGTACTGTGTGCCTATACAATTAAGCGCTATCGAAACTAAGGGGGAAAGAAAATTCCATCTCACAGAAAGTGATTAAGAATCATATGACCATCTTACATGGGAGGAAACAGGTGTTCTGTTCACAGAGGAAGATAACAGAAACCAATGGGGAAGACTCTAAGTTGAGTCACCAAGTCAATGATGACACTGGTTTCCCCCTGGTTGCAGGGCCCTTCTTTTCCTCCCTTGCGTATTTCATATATGTGCACGCACATGTATACTGTAAGTATGGCTCACACTTTAGATATCCTTCAATCACCACAAAAGCATGCCACAAAACTAGTAAGGAAAAACAATCAATAAATGTCTGTTTTGCTCAGAGTTCTTACATCTGCTTTAACATTTGGAATCATTTAAAGAAATTTAAGTACCCAAACTAAGTACCCATCTCTCAGGATGGAGAAACACAAATTTTGTTTTTGTTTTTAATTGAGTCTCTCTTTTCCTGAACTTGGATAAAAGTACCTATTTTGGTTTCAACATGACTAATGTGAATATAAACTAGGAATAAATGAGATGAAAGAAGACTTAAAACAGCTAATGCACTATGCATATTGGCAGTATAAATTTTAATAGTACAACTTTAAATGGGTTAATACTGTCCTTGTACTTCTTCTGTAAACCCAAAGTTATTCCAAACTAAAAGCTTTTAAAGCAGGTTAATATAAAAGCGAGGGTTTCTAAAACATGATTCAAATTTCCAGAGCAATCCTGTACTACTTAATGACTGTGGCATGTGGAGCTGTTCAGCTATACCATATATATATAAACAGGCACCTACTGAGAGTCTTAAAACTGGAAGCGTAAGCACCCATATGAGAACCATTGGCTGCACAGTCAATTCTGCTACCCATGGCACCATGAATTATCCTGAGAACCATTGGCTGCACAGTCAATTCTGCTACCCATGGTACCACGAATTATCCTGAGAACCATTGGCTGCACAGTCAATTCTGCTACCCATGGTACCATGAATTATCCTGAGAACCATTGGCTGCACAGTCAATTCTGCTACCCATGGTACCATGAATTATCCTGAGGCTGCCTTCTGCTAGGGATGCACTTCCATCTTGATCTCCAGAAAGGACCCCATCTTTTACAAATGACCTTTGCAGAATCTTCCCTCACCATTCTTCTACATGCCAACAATGTTCCAGAGTTTATCAATGAGCTCTTGTGCTCTAGCCCCTTACTTCTAGTGTGCCCACAACTAACAGTGCCATTTCCCGTCCTTCACAGTCTACCAAACCCAGGATTTTTGTATTGCCCAGCTCAAATGTCTGGCTCTGTGAATGACTCCTCCCAAAGGGAGTAGCAGGTTAATCTCTTTCCTAGGCTCTTCTGGGACTTTCTCATACTACCAGTAGTCTAAAAGAAAGCAATTTATCAAACTGCCAGCCTGTTCCAATAACTTGGAAGTTCCCAGGTCATCTCACCAGCCAAGACCCTCTGAAAAATATTTTCTGCAGGAGTGGTAAAACAATTGCAGCTTTCCTCCACTGACAACTGTGTGGAGTCTTTATTTCCCCTCCATTCACAGAATGTCTTCACTTCTCTTAATTTAATCATATAATGAATTTTGCTAATGAATTTCAATTCTTTACAATCCTAGAAAAATCCTAAATCACAATTGTAGTGCTTTGATATACTAATGAAATAATTATGCATTTCTATGTAGGATATTTGTTCATATGATCACAAGATCATTCTGAAGTTTTGTTGTTCATTTGACTTATCAATTATCAGGCTTTGATTTACAGGTTCCACTGTCAAGATTTGCTTAATAATGATCTTGGATAATCTAATCCTTACTGGTTTATCAGAATTCATTGAAAAGTCTTCTAGAAATAATGACACTTCCTTTAATAACAGACACTACACATATTTCTAATGCTTTATATGATAATACATCTTCTAAGATGATGTGACAGCATTTGTATCTTGCAAGAAATGCATCTTTTGCTCTAGGCTTTATTACTGTACCCATTCAACCAAGGTATCCTTCAGTGAAAAGTAATTTCTCATTTACAGCACATCGTTATCCTGGGAATTGCTTCCTACTACTCCTTGGCGATGTAAACCTGTGCACAGTCTTTCAGTTCAGGGTGCATATCAGGCCCCTGCACGTGACAGCACCCAGCATCCAGGTACCACACACTCATCAAAGGCAACTCTGCCTGGCACCACACCCACATCCCAGAGTAAACTCTCAAGAGTAGAGTAAACTCTTGAGAGTAGAAGTACTTATCATTTTACAATCCCAAGGTCTAGTACATGGTAAGAACTCAATAAAAATACCTATTCATTTAATGAACAAATGAACTTATATATGCCTATCACTAGAGCTCCCAATGAATCCGACTGTCTTGCTTTATTCAAGGAGTATAAAGTCTGAGGGAGTTATATTCATCTGCTTTCAATGAACAAGGAAGTAACACAGAAAAGATATGGAAAAATGCTGAGATAAGTCAAAAGAGCTAGAGCAAGCTTGGCAGGAGCAGCTCCAATCCAAGACATTGAACACTATTATATTTGAGGGTAACTGAAGCAAAGGCAATAGCAAGAGTTAACATAAGAGCTAGGGAGATGCCCAGTGGGTAAGGACTTGCTGTGCAAGTGTAAGGACCTGAGTCTAATCCTAAAATCTCACATACGCTTGACACAGTAGTGTGCATCTGTAATACCAGTGCTCCTACAGTACGATAGGGTGAGGACAGAAGAATGCCCAGAGGCTCATGAGTCAGCTAGCCCACAAGGGAAACACAATATTGAGACCCTGCCTCAAAAACAAGGCAAAAGGCAGGACCGACACCTGAGGCTGTCCTCTGCATGTACAATGTAGCATGTGGGCACACACTGGGGGTGGGGGGAGAATGCTATAACAACACAGAAATAAATCAAGAGAGAGGAATAAATCAGTCCATGTAAAATGTTTCCAAGGAAAGTGATAAATACAATATGGAGTCCCTCTGGTCCTAGTTTGAGTTTCAGTTATTCTAAAGTGACTGTTAAGAAGAAAAATGTGCATCTGCAAACTGAACACCTGTAAACTTCCAAACAGTTCTAATGTTTTATGTTATTTTCTTTCTCTAAATCTTAAACTTCCTTTTGATAAATGGGTTTGAGGAAAGCTTACAAGTTTGATGAATGGGTAGACTAGCATATACCGGTTGGGACTCCTTGGCTGCTCAGAGACAGACCCATTGAAAAACCAAAGACAAGCAGGAATAAGAGCTGGCTTTCCTGGACCATACCTAACCCTGCTCTTACTTCCTCTGCATCTAGGTAGGTAGGCTTATAATTATCATGAAAGCAAGAAGTGAAAGGCAAGATCCTCCCAGAGGCTCTGAAAATACAGCAACACCATCAGAAGAGAGAAAAACATGAGAAACAGCCCTGATCTGAGCAAG